TCCAGTTTGCAGAGCGCCGTCTGCTGCAGCACCCCAGTCTGCACTGCAAATGAGCCAGCGCCAACGGGCAGCACGAGATCCACGCAATCATGCCGCAGCGCACTCACCGCCTCCCGCAGGCGCTGAGCACCCAGCTGGACATAATACTCCTCGTCATGAGAAAAGTAGAAGCCATACGTGCCGGTCAAGCCCTCCACAGCCTCTCGTAATTCGTCGCAGCGCCGGCTTGCGGCATAGTGTATCGCCTCCCACAGCCGCTTATTCCCCGCCTCCTCCATGAAGGTGGACCGCAACATCGACCGCTTGATGCGCCCAAGCATCGGCACCTGCCGCTTCGTCATCTGACTCAGGCGAAACTCCGGCACGACAATCCATATCAGCTCCTTCTTCGTTCGCCGCATGAGGCGCTCGTATAGTTCCGGCGGCTGCGGGCACGTGACAACGCCAGGCGACGAATACGACCAGAGAGCCTTGACCGTAAAGAGGGGACGCAAGGCCAGCCCTTCATGGCCCAGGAGGTGCTGGTGGATGCACCAAAGCATCAGCTGCACCGTGTCGATCAAAACGGACTCAAACGCATCCTCAAGCAGGCGGACAATTTCCGTCCACAGCGGCGGGCTCTCGGACGTGGCCACGTCACTTGTCAGGTACGGGAAGCGGCCATCGCTCAGGGCATTGAGAACGGCCAGCATCTCGTTGTGAGCTTGACTGACGACATCCCCCACACGGTGCAGCGCCGCCTGCAGCTCCGCATCCCACTGCTCAAAGGAGGGCGTGTAGTCAACCTCCGCACCCGGCCCCAAGTGGGTCTCCCGCACCAGCTTCGCCGAAATCGCGCCAAACGCACCCACCAAGCTCCCACCAGCAGCGAGGCGCTGACGGCGTCCCTCCTCCCCGCGTTGGCGCCCTCTACTGCTGTCCGCGCACTCCCGCTCACCCGGCTGCCTGGCACCGGGGCCTCGCCGGGGCCCACAGGCGTCCCCTGCGACGCGATACAACGACACAAGTGTCCCCTGCTGCACAACATCCCGCAGCAGATTTGTGAACACCTCTGCCGCCTCCAGCAGCTCTGCTGTCGGCGGGTACTCCGATGCGGGGCACACAAAGCGCTGCGCCAGCGAGTTGAGCAGCAACGCTTGCTTTCTCTCAATGGCGTCTACAATCTCCCTTGCCCGGCACTGTCGCTCTTCCCCCTTCTCCTTCGCCGCACTCTCCGCCTCACATCCCAGGCACCTTCGCCGCACCTCCAACTCCAGCAACGCGTAAACTGGATTCATCTGGGCAGTAGCCGCAACCGTGGAGCCTTTCGAGAAGTTGTGATAACACGTGAGACCCTCCCTCCTATGAGCGATAATGGGTGTGTGGGAAAAGGCAAAAACACACTGCGACGTCCACATGCTCCAGGTAGCCACAAACACGCACGCAACAGAAAAAAAAATGGACGCACCAGCAACAACAAGAGGCACTTCTCATACACACAAGCCTTGGCGAAACCCAAAATAAAATTTTAAAAAATCGAAATCCGGCACATACCGCCACTCGGTTGGGGCCAGCAGCGCCGACGCAATGCGCATCGACACCCCACAACAAAGAAACACTGAGCATGGCGCCACTCCACCGCGCCGCCGCCCACTCTCATACATCCGGCAGCCACGCGTAAGTGACTCCGGATAAAGCTCTAAAAAAAGACGAAATGGTCACCCGCACACACGCACACGATGGGAGCAACCGCAGCCAAGCACAGGCCCATGCAGATGCAGGCGCACACAGACATGCACGGCGACCCGCGTGGCAGCAACCTCCACCGCGAAAAGGCACCCGCAGCCCACACAGCCAAAACCAGGGGCCACGCAACTACACGCGAAAATCACCAGGGGACGAACGGCGCACAGCTATCGCGCCGTCGCTCGTCGACGGTCACTCGGACTCAAAAATGCAACGCAACTGGTGGTCTCGCAGCACCGGCACCAGCAGGGCGGACGTCAAGCTCGGCCGCAAGGACCCGTGCGTGTCCACCGCGCCAAGCAACGCCCCAACACCGCCAGCCTCACACACGCCCCGCTGCTCAGCCTTGCGCGCAGTCACGCGAAGCTGCCCCGCGACGATACAGCGAATCAAAGTCTCGCAGACGTCCTTCGTCTCCTCCCAACTCTTCAAAAAGACGGACACATCCCAACGCCCAGCAATCGTCTGGAGCGCCTTCAGCCGCAC